AGCAAGACACAGCAAGACTGCACATCTGTCAACAAACAAAACGCACACATAGGGTGGCTGATGGGGGGAATGAAAAGTAGAAGCCGAAGGACACATAGAAAGAGAACGAGAGAGAGAGAGAGAGAAAAACAAAACAAAACATAGGGAAACGAAGATAACGATACATGAAAAGAGACAGAGGAGTACACACAGAGAGAGAGATAGAGAGAGAGAGAGAGAGCACGAGAAAGAGAGAGAGAGAGAGAATCTCTCTCTTTCTCTCTCTCTCTCGTCCCTGTCCTCCTTGTCCTCTTCACTCGTCTCCTCCATCGCCTCGCCCCCCCCCCTCCGCCGCCCCCGCCACCCGCCCTGCCTCGTTTGTGTGCCGATTCACAGGCCGATACACATGTACATCTATATACATGTACATGATAAACGTATGTACCCACATATATGAGTCCACCCCTCTTGGAAAGTACGTCGTTGAAGATTCTGCAAGGTGCTGAGGAGAGCGGGAAGTGTGAGGAACAGGAGAGAGGGAACACAAGGGAGAGAGGAGGAATATGGAAGAAGGAGGAGGGCGGCGGAGAAGAATAGTGAGGGAGAAGGGAAGGAGGAGGGAGGGGGAGAACCGAGGAGGCACTGGAGGAGCAAAATGAGCAGGAAGAGGTGCATGATATAGGAGAGAGCAAGGAAATAGTGGAGGAGGGGGGGCGAAGGAGGAGGAGCAAGAGGAGGACGAAGAGGACGAATGATAACTGAACAAGGAAAAAGTCTTTTCTGTCCCTCCTTCATTATAATCCTCCTGCCTCTCCCCCTCCTCACCGTCTCCCCCGATGGGGGGCCGGAATAGGTGTCGAAACCGTTGATTGTTAGATTGCCCGACATCTATTGCACCAAACAGACTGCTCAGCGTAGACCGCAATGTCTATGTATACACATATTTGTATATGTATACACATGTGTATGTATTATACAGACACGTGTTGCACGGCAAAAAAAAATACCCATAGATCGCACCACATAGGCTGCACCATATATATATGTGCGAATGTGTAACTTCACACTCTCTTTTCTAAAAGGAAAATAGATTCCACCACCGTTCCGAGGCCAGACTTATCGCACACCCTCCCGGGGATGTGCAAGTTACATACGATTCTGCCCCATCGCCCATCCTGACTGCGAAATCGTACTATCCCCGCCAAGCTGATGTCCCCCCCACGCCATCCTTTGCAAGAAATACTATGCGCGCGCACTCGTGTATCAGAAAACGTCAGTTTTCAAAAATCCGTTGCAAAAAACTAAACGAAGCGGACACGATCGCGTCGTCGCGCGCGCATACCGAAACGCTTCAAAACAATTGAGCGCGTAAGGATTTCAAAGCCCGATTTCAGACATCAAGAAAAATCACAACACTGATGTCCCAAACATTATTGTATATCGTTTTTAATGATAATAATACGCGCGCTCTTGTGAATCCCTACGGTAACCACAGGTGTTCACCATGTTCAGCAAATGTTGCCAACATGGTTTCGCGCGCGCGCATGTCGAAATCGGTCGAACGCCCTTGCGCGCGCGCGCTGTCGCAAAAATCCTCGGCTGAAAAAAAACGAAGTGCACACGCGCGCCGTCGCGCGCACATGTCGAAATCGATTAAGGAATGATAGCAACAACAAACGTTAGGTTTCGCTCGGAATTCGAAAGCGAGTGCCACGAAACCCTACGAAAACAGTTGGCTTAGCAACATCCGATGTCAACCAAAAAAGGCGTGCAACACAAAAAAAAGCGTGCGCGCTCGTGCGAACTCGTAAGAAAACCATAGGGTGTCCAACACGGTCGTTGGATTATGCCCAGCGGGCCTCTCGCGCCGCATGCCAAAATCATTCGTGCGCCCCTGCGCGCGTGCTGGGGGGGGGGCACGATCCGTGTCAAACAACTCCATGCGGCCACTCTCGCGCGTCGGCCGCGCGCGCATGTCGAACTCATTGCAAAACCTTCATCACAGACGCGAGGACGCCGTCATCGTCGCCGGCGTGATCAGCATCGACGCCGTCACTGGCCGTGCGTCGTTGTCAACATCTTCACCAGCATTGCTACTATCATCATCGTGTCTACCGTGGTCGGCAATGCCATGATACCGCGCCCGCCCAAATCGCCGACTCGCACTGGAGTGCCCGCTGGGATGTGCCGAGCGGTCAGCGACACCGCGTTCGCGGCGGTCGCGCCAAAATAGGTGGCCGCTGCGCGCGCGAGCATGCGCGTGCTAGCGCGGCCGCAGAGATGCACCAGCCAACACCAAGCACTCATCGCAATCGCCGCCACATGGATTGTGCAAACGAAGTTGCAGGCGGGTGGGTGGGATGATTGCGCGAGCAGTGGGCTCGACAACTTCAAGTTCGGCAGGTTGCTGGCTACCAGAAAAATGCATGATCCAATACGCGTGTTTATATATATATGTATATATATATATGTCGAACTCTACATAGGTGTCTATTTCTTCACGTCAGACGCTCCACAGGAGACGTCCCAGTGCAATCCACCCGCACAACGAGCCCATCTGCAAACCTGGCTTGCCCAGTTTAAGAATAAGAAATGAGCCGTTTACTGCTTCTGGTTTGGAGAACACACTCTTGAAAAGGCCATTTAAGATTTCCCCCCGCAGTCGCTTTAACTCGACGGCCACATCTCGTGTACTCTCTCTGTCTCTGTCTCTGTTCTCTCTCTCTCTCTCTCTCTCTCTCTCTCCCTGAGAGACAGGGAGGGAGAGAGAGAGAGAGAGACAGACATATAACATATACATATGGCTTCCCCCCCCCCCAAGATCATAAATTGTATCTTGGATCGTATTCACGTTCATCATCCTCTTATTAATCGTCCCCTCCTCTTCTTCCCCCCCCCCCCCTCGTCTGCTTCCCACTGTTCGTCCGCATACCTCTCTTACCATATACCTGCATATGGTGGCTCGAATTTGGCGCCCTCGGAGCAAGGAAACGCTGTGTATGTTTGGTGTTTCTGATTTTTTAGGGGCCTAAGATGCAAGGCAGCACTGCATATATGTTTGTTGTGTTGTTTTCTTTTTGCTTTGGAAGCTCAAGTGCTCTCCGCGGCCTCCCCCCCCAGCACCTCCTCCTTCTCCCCCTTCCTCTTCCCCCCTCCTCCTCCTCCTTTCCTTCCCTCCTCCTTGCTGCAAAGCAAGAAAAACAAGAATACACAGTGTTTGGCGCCCTCGGTGCAAGGAAACGCTGTGTATGTGTGGTTGTTCTGGTTTTTTGGTCTAGGATGCAAGGCAACACTGCGTATGTGTTGTTATTATGATGCTTGTTGCTGTGGGAAGTTCAAGTGCTCCCCGCGGCCTCCCCCCCAGCACCTCCTCCTTCTCCCCCGTCCTCTTTCCCCCTCCTTCTCCTCCATTATATTCCTCCTCCTTGTTGTAAAACAAGTTAACCAAGAATACACAGTGTTTGGCGCCCTTGGTGCAAGGAAGCGCTGTGTATGTTTGGTTGTGTCCGGTTTTTCTGGTCTAGAACGCAAGGAACTGTTGTGTATGGTTTGATATTTTGGTTTTTGTGGGTTTGGGAAGCTCAAGTGTTCCCCGCTGCCTCCCCCTAGCACCTCCTCCTCCTCCTCCTCCTCCATCACTTGCGAAGCTCCAAAACCCCCCAAAAAAACAAATATCCAAAACTACACCGTGTCTCCTTGCATCCTAGACCAAAGAACCAAACAAACAACAAACATACACAGCGTTCCCTTGCACCAAGGGCACCAAAGACTGTGTATGTTTGGTTTTCTTGCTTTGCAACAAGGAGGAGGAAAGGAAAGGAGGAGAAGGAGGGCGAAAGAGGAAGGGGGAGAAGGAGGAGGTGCTTAGGGGGGAGGCCGCGGGGAGCACTTGAGCTTCCAAAAAAACAAAAACAACAAAAAAAAAAAAAAAGTGATCCTTTGCGTTCTAGACTGGAAAAACCGGAAACAACCAACCATACACAGCGCTTTCTTACACCAAGGGCACCGAACACTGTGTATTATTGGTTTTCTTGTTTTGCAACAAGGAGGAGGGACGGAAAGGAGGAGAAGGCGGGAAGGAATGATACACAGGGTGTGGCGACCTCGGTGCAAGGAAACCTTGTGTTTTGTTTGGTTTGTTGGTCTGAGAAACAAGGAAACCTTGTGTATTTTGTTTTGCTTGGTTTTTTGGTTTTGCAAGCCCCGACGCTCGCACTGGCCTCCCTCCCAGCACCCGTGGGGCTTGCACCCCCCCCCCCCCCCCCCAAAAAAAAAAACATACGTAGTGTTTCCCTGCTTCTCAGACCCACCCCACCCCCCCTCAAAAAAAACAATGTTTCCTTGCGAAGGCGCGAAACATTGCGTATGTTTGGTTTTCTTGGTCTGAGGCGCATGGAAGGGTGCTGAGAGGGAGGCCACCGCGACCATTCAGGCCTGCAAAACCAAAGAAAAAACATCAAAATCAAAAGTACACAGGCCTTCCTTCAGGAGGAAGAAGAGGAGGAGGGGGAGGGGGAGGAGAGATCGATCGACGATGGCGGTACTAGAAAAGAAAATGTATGATCTTTGGGGGGGGACTATACACATATATATATATATACACATACATACATACATACATACATACATACATACCCGTATACATATACATATGCATATATATGTTTATGCATATGTGTATGGTTATATGAGTATAAATGTAATCTTAACATATGGATAGGTAAACATGTGTATATATATATATACAGATATATACATATACATATATATATATGTATATATATGTATATATGTATATGTATGTACATGGCTCAGGGGTCGTGTGACACAGGAGGGCCATACATGATTCAGGGCTCGGGCCCGCCCCCCACAGATAATGGGATCGGGCCTCCCACCCCCCCGCTGGATGGTTACGTCCGTGAGCCTCGCATATGCCTCGCAAGTGCGATCAGTCCCACCCACCCACCCCCATTGGTCGTTGCCCCTTCGGGCGTGGCGTGGTGGTGGTGGGTGCCGGTGCCCCCCATCCTCCCGCTGTGGATGCGGGGTGGTTCGTTCTCATCGTCGTTATCGTCGTCGTCGTCGTCGGCGGCGGCGGCTGCGGCGGCGTCGTCGTCGTCGTCGTCGTCGCCGTCCCATCTCATCTGGGGGAGTTGCCTGTGTAATCCTGGTGCCCATCCAATCTGGGGGGGCCTGTGAACCCTCAACCTCGGATCATATTAAAAACAAAAAACTATGTTATATATTTATACGTGTGTAAATATGATACACATCTATAGATATATAGAAATACAGACATACACACATACATCGATCTAGCTGTACACATACAATGGGTACCCATAAACATACAAAACGGATCTGCGTTGACTCGGGGTCTGGCGGCTCCTGCTGGGTCCAGGAGGGCCCCTGGCGGGCCCAAGACAGCCAAAGAGGGCACCAAGGGGCCACCAAGACGGGCCAAGAGGGCCACGAGTCGCCGAGCGATCGGTCCAAGACGCTCCAAACGGCCTCCAGATGGCCCGAGAGGCCTCTAGACGACCCAAGAGGCCTCCAAGACGCCGCAAGAGGCCTCCAAGAGCTCTCCCAAGAGAGCTCCAAGAGGCAAAAGTCGCCCCAATCCTTACTGGAAGAGCATGCATTTTCAGCACATGCGACTTTTCGGCCTGCACGGCGTCTAAGGCGGCCCAACAGGCCTCCCAGATCATCCCAAGACGGTCCAAGAGGCCCCCAAGATGGCCCCAAGACATCCCAAGAAGAGTCCACGACGACCAAACAGGACCCTCAAAGAGCACGGAGAGGGGTCCAACAGGGGGAAATCGAATTAAGATTTTGAGCCCTCTGCCCCAAAGGAGCCCCCGAGACCGCCAGTAGGCCCCCAAGAGGCCCCCCAGAGGCCCCCCAGAGGCCCCCAAGAGGCCCCAAGAAGCCCCCCAAAGGCTCCCGAGAGGCCCCAAGACGCCCCCTCACAGGCCCCAGTAGCTGTGAAATCCACAAACGGCCGCGCGCTATAGCCGTCCCAACCCGCTCATTTATCGAGCTGAGGAACCAACTAATACGGCGGCGATCAGACAGTTAGCGTTTGTGTTGTTGGTGTGCCTTATATACACACAACTTCATGTACGCATATATATAATATATAATATGATATATATATATATATATATATATGTATGTATGTATGTATATATATGCATATATATATATATATATGCATGCCTAGTTACATGCATGCATACATACATGCATACATACAGACCGACTTACATGGTTGCATGCATATGTACACATAAATGCATACATAGACACATGCATGCATGCATACATACAGACAGGCATGCATGTATGCACACATACATACTTGCAGGCACGCATACATTACATTGTATTGCATTACATTGCATTACAGCACATTATAATCTATTACAATGCATTACAAATCAATACGATGTCTCGTATTACATTATAGTACGCTACAATACATTGCAATGCATTACACTTCACTGCGCTGCATTACACTACACGGTATAAGGTTACATCACATCACAATACATTATTTTGTATGCCAATACACAACACTGCAGTACAGTACGCCCGTGCATGCATACGGATATGCATGCATACATGTATACATACATATATACATACAAACATACAGACATGCATGCATGCATGCATGCATCCGTACATACATATGTGCAGGCATGCATGCATACATGCATACTTACAAATGTGGATGCATGCATGCGTTCATACATACATACACCATGCAAACCTACATATAGTTATACACATATTGAATGCGTACTTCTGTAAATGCGTACATGTATAACTGTATCCATGTATCTAGCCATGTTTATAAGCACAGATGTGTACATATATATATATGTACATATGAGAGAGAGTAAATATATGCGTGTGGATTCGACCATGGCGGTGAATAGAAGGTTGGGGCGTGGGGGGGCGGCCTTCTGACAAGGCAGCGGGCAGGGGGCTTCTCAGAGGGAACGGGAAATCCTCCGAGCGCTCCCCGTGGAGGCAGCAGGGCCTCTGAGAAGCCCCCCTGCCTCATTCGAAGGCCGCCACCCTGGCCCTGCTGCGCGCCGCGGGCCTGTCCAGACTCGCGGGGCACAGCTGAGAGGCAAGGAACGCCACGCCCCAGCTGTGGGCGGCCACGCTCTCTGGCGCCTCGACGCCCCGCCTCAGCCAGCCCGCCCGCGCCACGTCCTTGAGGCCGAGCGCCTCCCTCAGCCCCGCCCATGAGGCTGGCACGCCAGGGGCCTCCGCTGGACCCGGCCGAGCGGGCACTGGCGCTCCCGGGGGCTCCTCGCTCTGGGCCTCCAGGGCGCCGTCCTGAATCAGGTGCCCCAGGTCCTGCAGCTCAGCGGCGGTGCGGACCTTGCTCTCGACGATCGGCTCCACCCCCGAGGCGCGGAACGTTCGCAGTACCCGGCGCGTGCACTCCCGCATGCCCTCGATGGAGGAGAGGTTGATGGGCCGATTTTCCACCACCACAACTATAAGTAGGAGAGGAGGGAGGGAGGGAGGGAGGGAGGGAGGGAGGGAGGGAGGGAGGAGGAGGAGGAGGAGGAGGAGGAGGAGGAAGAGGAGGAGGAGGAGGAGGAGGAGGAGGAGGAGGAGGAGCACCCCACCCTCAAATTCTCCCTTGTGCTACCTATGGGGGTGGTGGTGCAGAATTGGCCCATCAGAGGTAGTGCTCGGAGAAGTGCACGCCGTTCCAGGGCCGCTCCCGAAACTGCCGCAGCTGCGCCTCGTTCGGCAGCAGCACCGAGCCGAACAACCTCACGGGCCGCCCCGCGCGGGCCTCCGCCGCGGCGGCCCGCGCATACTCGGCGCCCGAGGAGAGCAGCTCAGCGTCGTCGCCGGTGTTCAGCCACACCTCCTCGACAAGGCCGGTGCCCAGCTTCCGCGCGAGTCTCTCCCGCTCCCGCTGCCGCTGCCCCTGGCTGGGGAGGCAGGCGTTGAACGCCACGCCGAGGCGCACGGCGCCTGGCGCGGGGTGCCGCCCGCCCAGCCTCTCCAGCACGCGGACGGCGTCGCAGGGAGGCCCGCGGGGGCCAGTGACAAGCAGCACGCCTCCAACGCCGATGGAGGCAGCCCTGCCGCAGAAGTGCTCGAACGCCTCGACGGCGCCGTCCCCTCTGCGCTGGTGCTTCAGGCTGTAGTGGACGTTGACGTCCGCCCCTGGAACGCGCTCCAGGAGCGCGGCGGCCCACTCCAGCAGCGGCTCGTCCTTCTTCTTGTTCGGGATGTTGAAGCCCGAGAACAGCGCCTGGCCCGGCCGCGCGACGTCGCGCGCCGCCCGCCGGTACGCGCCAGCGTCCTTGAGGCCCATGAGCTCCAGGCGGCAGGTCGGCGCCGGAGGCGCGCACGCCACAGCCCTCGGGGGCGCACACCCCGAGACCCGACACTGCGAATAAGAGCACAGCATGTTCTATGGCTAGCGCAGACAGCAACCGCAACAGCAGCAGCAGCAACAACATTCACGCCATCAACAAAAGCAGAAACAACAAGAACAGCCACGACAACAACGACAACGACAACGACAACGACAACGACAACGACGACGACGACGACGACGACGACGACGACGACCACGACGACGACGACGACGACGACAACAACCACAACAACAACAACAACAACAACAACAACAACGACACCAACAGCAACAAGAACAACAACAACAACCATAACAACAACCATAACAACAACAACAACAACAACAACAACAACAACAACAACAACAACAACAACAACAATAACAACGACAACAACAGCAGCCACAACAACGACAACACCAGCAGCAACAACAACAGCGACGACAGGAACAACAACAACAACATCAACAACAACAACAACCACAACAACAACAACAACAACAACAGCAGCCGCAACAACAACATCATCATCAACAACAACGACAAGACCAGCAGCAACAACAACAACAACAGAACGACAAGCGCCCTGCACCCCGCCTATATGCGCCGCTCCTCGGGCTGTATCAGATCTGTGATGGCCCCGACGCCCGACGCCGGGCCAGGAGACGCCCGGTGCGGAAACACGGCAGCGCCCGGATCCGACCCAGAACCCCGACGTCATGATTTGTTCTGATAACATCTCACCAGCCTCGAACTTATCCCTATCCCTAAGATGGGCGAGCAAAAAAGCGAGGACAATCTCAGGGACAGGCCCTCAGAAACTGAGGGAATCCTTAAGATCGGCATCGAGGTGAGGTGCTGTCAAACATAGGGATAGGGATATGTTTCAAGCTGGTAAACATCGACCCCCGAAGGTCTCGACCCACTCCTCGGGGCCGTTTTTTCATCCATTGTCGCTCTTCGACGGCCCCGAGGCCGTGCGAGGGCCCCCCAGGGGGGCCGAGAGCAGGGAAACATCTCCCACCGTGACTTCTTCATGACTCGGGGGGGTCTGGTAGAGGGCCCCTAGATGGGGTCCGAGTGGACAGGGTCGGAGGATCTCGCCGCATCGCCGGCACATCGGCGATGCATCGCCGATGCATCGGCCATGCACTGGCGACGTCGGCGATACATCCGCGACGTCGGCGCGAAGCAAATCGGGCCCCACATCGAGCCGCATCGGCGATGCATCGGCGATGCGGCGCGATCCTCCGACCCCGTCTGCTCCGACCCCGTCTGGGAGGCCTCGAGTTAGGTCGGGCACATCCACCTACAGGCGGGTTTTGGGCGAAAAATGAAAAATAGTCAGAAGATGCTCAAAAATCATCCGAATGGTGTTTTTGTATATTCCTCCTGTAGAGGGACAGGCCCGACTTCAGCCTAGACGCCTGGGGAGGGCCCACCTCTCATTGCACCGGCCTTGCAGACGTGCTGCAGTGGATTTCCGTGTGGATTTCTGCGTGGAATTTTGCCCGGAACGGCGAGCGAAAAACGAAGTGAACTTCGCGTGGATTCTTTTTCGTCTTCCTTCCTGGCGAAATCTGGAGCGAGATTCTCCAGGACACTCTGGGCCCACCCCGTCGCTTTCCGAACGAGATCCGCTCTGCGATGTTGGCGCGGCGGCGACTTCTCGAGATCCACCGCATGGGAACCGACGCCCTGGTGCCCAGCGGGCAGTGGATGTGTGTGTGTGTATATACATATATATATATATATATCTCATACGCACCTCTCCGAGGGAGTAGAGCTCAGAGGCGATTAATGCGCACGCGTCCGCGATTTTTCTGGGCGTTTCGCTCGGGACATCCTCGAAATTCTGAAAATCGGTGGCACCCCTCACGCAGATCGTGACGTCAGGGTCCAAAAACACATGGGAATTTCAACATGTTAACATAAAACCTTCAAAAACACATGGTAATTTCAATAAGTGTGACCCCGATTCTCAGGGAATGGCGGTTTCGCTTGAAAAATCCTTCTAAAATCGAGCCCCAGACCTCGCCTCGAAGCCTCCTGGGGGCCTCCTGGAACGGGGCCTCCTGGGGCTTTCTGAACCTTCTGGCACCCCAGACCCCGCCTCGGAGCCTCCTGGGGGTCTCCTGAAACCTCCTGGGGCCTCCTGGGGCCTCCTGCGGCCTCCTGGAGCCTCTTGGGGCCTCCTGAAGCCTCCTGGGGTCTCCTGGGGCCTCCTGAGGCCGCCTGGGGCTTCCTGGGGCCTCCTGGGGCTTCAGAACTACATGCACACAGAGACACAAATCACGCCCAACACATCACACGCTAGACAAACATAACACACACACACACACACACACACACACACACACACTACAACACACAAAAAGCACGCACCACACAAAGCATACATCACACACACGCACACACACACACGCACAATACTCACAATCCTGGGGCCTCCTGGAGCCTCTTCTGGTATCCAAGTCGGGCCTCCTGAGGCTTCCTGGGGGGTCCTGGTACACACATCGCAAGGTGTGGCAACCCCACTTGCGCTCGAGTGCGACTTCGATGTTGCATTTCACTCCTGCTTCAAACGCCCCTTCAGTTTTTTGTATGAGCCTGGGCACACACGTGCCACTTGTATATATATATATATATATATATATATATATATCGGCCCCCGGGGGCCCGAATACGTCCAGATCCACCGCCTGCCGAGGCTCCGAAAACGGACCCTCCAGTAGGGGGCCACATGCGAACCCCACCCTCCCCCTCAGAAATCGTGGGGGGTAGGGGTAGGGTTCGCACGTGGCCCCCTCTCCAGGCGGTGGTCGTGTACAAGTTCCCGCCTCGGAATGTTGGCGCCGCGACGCCTCGGCCCCTGGCGCGCTGCCAGCGGGCAGCACACCGCCGGCGCCAGCAGCCCGGCCGCACGGCCCAGGCCGCGGCCCCGGCCGCGGGCGGCGCCCCCGGCCGTGCGCCCGCGGCGGCTCGGCGCGCCGCGCGGCATGCGCCCGCGGGCCGCGGGAGCCTCCTCCTCCTCCTCCTCCTCCTCCTCCTCCTCCTCCTCCTCCTCCTCCTCCTCCTCCTCCTCTTCCTCCTCCTCCCAGGGGCGGCAGCGCGGGCAGAGGCGGAGGACCCGGACGGTACCGCGTCGTCCGAGCAAGAGTCACGACGGGAGGCTTTTTGGCGTGTGTGTTCCCTCGTTATGCTTGTGTGTTTGCCTTTTTGCATGTCTGACTGTTTTCACGACGGGGGGGTCTGGGCCGTTTTCGGCCTCTGGGGGCCCTCGCCAGGCCCTGGAGATGTCAGGAAGCGACCCGGAACGAGAAGCCAGCCCAGGTGGAAGGGCCTGGGCCTCCGTGGGCCGCGCACTGAAAAAGCATCCGGGCGTCGCACGTCTGGGGAGGCCAGGGCCCCCTCAGCGGAGGCGTTGGCCTTGGCTGCTCCATGTGCCCTTTGCTCGCTGTGCCCCCGCCTGCGGAGCCCGGGGCCCCCGAAACGGGGACACGGCCAGACGTGGAGATCGGCGGTCCCCATGTCCCCGTTTGCTGTGATCCCGTCTTCGGCGCCCTTGGGAGGAGGAGGAGGAGGAGGGAGGAGGAGGGAGGAGGAAGACGACCCGCAGATCTGGGCGTTGCATGTTTTAACACCGGGCGTCTTCGCCAGGTTTCAGGCCCAACGGGACCCTCAAGGAATAATGCGGCTCGAAAGATGCCGCGGAAGGATGGAGTCTAGGGCTCTGGTCATGATTTCTCGCGATATCGCATTTGTTTCGTAATGTCGGATATCAGGGGAGGAGAAGGAGGAGGAGGAGGAGGAGGAGGAGGAGGAGAAGGATTCCTCCTCGGCTAAGATGCTGGGTACGCCCAGTCGGCTCTGCAACGAAGCCCCTGCTAATGACTTGAGCACCTGTGCGCCACCTGAAAGCCAGAGCCTAAAGTTCACGGACAGGACCACGGATGGGAGACGGCAAGACGAGATGCAGGAGGACAGTGAAAGAGAGCATCCGAGAGGTAAGTGGAGAGATGGATAGTACAGCCCTGCGCCCCTCGATCAGATGCTCAGGCGCACCAAGCGACAGCCGAGAGGCATGCGCCTGGGGCACTGGCGCGGCTGGAGCACGTGGCGCACTTGCCGGTTCAAGCCCCCCACCCCCCAATTGAGGGGGGGGGGCCGGCTCAACCCAAGATTGCCTCCAGCCTCGCAGACGAGGAACGGCGGCTTCAGATGGCCTCCAGCATGGCTGCTAGACGCACCAAGATGACCCCTAGGGACCACGGAACCTCTCAAAGATAATTACCCCCGCCTCCACCTCCTCCTCATCCTCCTCCTCCTCTTCCTCCTCCTCCTCCTTCTCCTCCTCCGTCCGTCTCACCCACCTTCGCAAGATCCGCGAGGGCATACCACGGCTCACTCCTGGACTGCATGCCGCTCCAAGCCCCTGACCACGGCAACCTGCCAGGTGGACAGCTTCTGGATGGGCCGTTGGGGACACGCCCGGAGCAGGGCGAGCTGAGACAACGGCAGCTCAATACCGGTCCCCGCACGCCCGCGGAAGTCCAAACGCACCAGCTCTCCGAGCTGCATCCAGCCGTGGCAACGAGGAGGCCCCCCGAAGGCCCACTGCCGTGGTCTCGACTCGCCCTCCTCCGGTGTGCCAAGCTCGAGCCACTTTTCTTCCCGCGGGGCACCAAGGCGCCGAGCGCCAGCTGCACGCAGGAGTGATGCCAGGCAAAAGTAGCCCTTTGTGCAGAACTTTCGGGGGCCGCGGAGAGGCCGAACCGGAGCGCGCAGGCCTGGGAAGGTAACTCCCTCGAGGAGAGATGACTGTTAGAATGTCGCGCCCCCGTGCATGTTGAGGCAGGAGAGAACCCTATGGACAACGTAGCAAAGCCAATATAATCGGATGGCGCCCGTAATATCAGCACTAATGCTAGTTAATTTCAGTGCGTTGTTAATCATGTTGCGGGAATACATTTATTCAGGCCTCGGCCTTGGATGCCATCGAAAATTCTGGACCGTGGGGTTGCAGTGAAGCAACAACATGGCTTGAGCAAGTATGTTGTAGAGCTTGGCTCACTGTGGCGCGAGCCAAAGTGGCAAGACGAAGAGAGGGAAGAGGGGGGCAGGAGGATGGAGGGGGAGGAGGGTCGAGCGAGGAGGGAGGAGCGAGGGAGGAGGGAGGAGGAACGAGGGAACGGGGGGCTCCCAGCTGTTTTCTTTGTTGCAGGGGTGCGCTGAGCCACGGTGCGCCGTCTGAAAAAAAAAAACTCGACTGTCTGAAGTTGGATCGGCCCATGAACGGACAAGGTTGTGATTGACCCAACAACATCTAAAGAAACTGTCTCGGCCAGCAGTGGCCGTCTAACCCACCGCAGAGGTGGTCGAGCTACGTGCTCGCAAAACTATCGGCCAGCCGTGGCCGTCTAACCCACCACTGATTAGGTGGTCTAGCTACGTGCTTGCAAATGTCTCGGCCAGCAGTGGCCGTCTAACCCACCGACGAGGGAGGGGGCGGCGACGCTCCCACTCAGTCGCGCACATTCGTCATCCTCCTCATCCTCCTCCTCCTCCTCCTCCTCCTCCCCCTCCTCCTCCTCCTCCTCATTCCCCCATGCGGTGGTCGAGCTACGTGCTCGCAAAAGTATCGGCCAGTCGTAGCCGTCTAACCCACTGATCAGGTGGTGCGGCTACGTGCTTGCAAATGTCTCGGCCAGCAGTGGCCGTCTAACCCACCGATGAGGGGGCGGCGACGCTCCCACTCAGTCGCGCACATTCGTCCTCCTCCTCCTCCTCCTCCTCCTCCTCCTCCTCCTCCTCCCCCTCCTCCTCCTCCTCCTCCTCCTCCTCCTCCTCCTCCTCCTCCTCCTCCTCCTCCTCCTCATTCCCCCATGCGGTGGTCTAGCTACGTGTTCGCGAATGTCTCGGCCAGCAGTAGCCGCCTAGCTATGCGTTCGCACCGTGGCTCGTTCCTGCATTTTCGAGGCTCGTCGTCGCATTTAAGGTGTCGTTGATGTGTCGGGTTTCGTTCGGGATATTCCTCGCCTCGGCCTGCGGCCTGCGGCAGGCCGCAGGCCTGCGGCAGGCCGCTGCTATCGCATCGCAGTCAGCCATCTGGGGGCCTCACTGTGCCCGCACCAATGGTCATCTCGGGCGAAAGGTCACTCTCACGTGTGGCGTTTAGCCGAGGCCGTAACTCAAGAGCCCGCCTGCCTCGCCAGAGCCTCGTACACCTCCCGCACCTCACCAGCCGGCACGGGCTCGGCGCAGGCGCCACTGCGCCGCAGCACGCACGCGGCGCACGCGTTGCCCCACATGGCGGCGTCGGCGGCGCTGCCGCCGTCCCGGCAGAGCCACCTCGAGAGGAAGCCCGCGGCGAAGGCGTCGCCCGCGCCGGTGGCATCCACAAAGTCCCCAGCCTGGGGAAGGGAAAGCGGCACGAGCACACATTCTCGGAGTAAAACAGGGCTAGGATCGGGATAAATCGCTCCAGAGCGTTCCGGAGCGCTCTCAGAGCGTTCCGGAACGCTCTGGAGCGGCCGCGGCGCCCAACACATCCTCCAAACCCGCCGATTTTCAGAGATTTCGAGCTATCCCGATCCGATTGTGTCCCGATCTTCGCGTCGTTTTACGGAGGGCCGCGTGGACTTCTTGCATCGGCGCTGGGCCCCGCCCCCCGGCGGCGCCACTGGCGCCGGCCCTGGCGCCTCCCCGAACCTGGGAGTGGGGCCCAGCGCCGACCCAAGAGGTCCGCGCGGGCCTCTGGAAGCTTGTGCGTATGCTTTATCTACTCGTTCTTCTGCTTATTCTGAATCTGTTGCGTAAAATCAATCCTAGTACCTAGTATTTCTCCTTGGGAAAATATGATTTGCATTACTAATACAATTACTACTATTATTAATATTTTCCATGTTGTTCTTCCCTTACTACTCATTATTAATATTCTTCTTGTTTGTTAATCGATGGCCTTCACCGCCTGGGTGGCCACATCTACCGGCTCGCAGGCGGACGAATGGATCCTCGTGCCGTCGCGGCCCCGCGTCTCCACGACGACGAGCCCGGGCCGCAACGCGCACGGGGGCTGCCCGAGCGCCGCGGTGATCTCCGAGAGCTCCCTCTCGTTGACGATGACGAGATCCAGGTAGGGCAGCAGCCGACGTAGGTGCTGGTCCTGCCCCAGCCACTGGTCCTGGGGGAACGGCAGCAGCAGCAGCAGCAACAACAATCATTTTAAGACTGTTCGCTCTTATCTCCTCGCGTGCCACTCAACACGTATATCCCGAAGCCTCGGTACCCGCCCTCTTCGTCTTCAATCGTACCCCCTCTTGGGGGTATGTCTTCCCTACCTGCCGCATGTGGTTGGCGCAGCCCCTAGAACAAGGGAAGGAGGGGAGGAGTGAAGAGACAGGGGGGGAGGGAGAAGGATGGAGCACGAGAGAAATTTGCAGGAGGGAGGATTCGGAACAGCAGCACAAGCGGCAGAACCAGCCTGCCGTGTCGGGCGGGCGAACTTCAACGGGCAGGTCGGGTGGGCGGGCCCAGACGACCAGGCAAAGCGGGCGGGTCGCTAAAGCGTCAACCCATCATGAAGGAAGCTTCGAGCGATAACGCGATTCCCCCGTAAATCGTTTGTCAATCCAGAGCAAGAACGTGATTTGTGAGTCTCGGGGGCACGGCGCCGCAATACACTGTGGGGAAATACCACGCGAGAGCGCGATTCTTCGATAAATCATGAGAGTGTCCCGCGCGAAAGCGCGAATGTGAAATAGACTGTGGGGGGGTATCAGGCGGGAGCCGCTGTTGTTGTAAACCAGGGCCCTGGGGCGCAGTTTGGTGACCACAGACTTCACTTCCCTGAACAATTAAAACAAATGCGAGCCCTGGGAGGCACACTTTCATTGAAAAATAACATGGTCTCCAGGAGGGGATCAACAACAATTATTGTTTAGAGATGAGCACACAACAACAGAGACGACAACGACAACGAGAACGACAACGACAATCGGCCACTGACTGAAGTGCGAAAAGAAGTCTCGAGCGAGAGCGACGTTCCTGAGTTCGGGGGCCTCTTTGGCCAGGGGTTCTCGAAATATCTATGGAGAAATATCGAACAGGAGCCCTTGTCGCCGTGTCCGGGCCTCCACCAACTTGCCTGAATTACGGGAATGTCTCGAGCGAGAGCGCCATTCCTGAGTTCGAGAGCTTTCTTGGCCAGGGCTCTACTACTACAAAACAACCGCAAACAAACAAGCAGCAGCAACAACAATAATAACAACCATTATAACAGCAAGAATGTTAGGACTGGTCGCTCTTTTCTGCTCGCGGGCCACTCAACACGTATATCCCGAACCCTCGATACCCGCATTCTTCGTCTTCGATCGTACCCCGTGGGGGGAATATACCTTTCTTACCTGCGACGTGTATGTCGTGCAGCCCCGACGACAGGGGAAGAGGGCGAAGAGAGGACGGATGGAAGGAAGAGCCAAGGGGGAGGGAGGAGGATGGAGCACGAGAGAGAGATTAGCAAGAGGGGGGCTGCGAGCAGAAAACACATGGCGAAACCGAACGGGCAGATCGGGCGGGTAGACCCTAACAGGCGGGTCGGGAAGGCGGGGCCCGGCGGCCAGATCGAGCAAGCGGGTTGCTGAAGCGTGCGTCCTGCACGAATCGCAAGGAAGTCTCGAGCGATAGCGCAATTCCCAAGTAAATCGTGAGACAAGCTACAACAAGAGCGTGATTCCTCAATGCCGAGGGCGCGGCGTCTGAATAATTTGCGAGGAAGGCCCACGCGAGAGCGCGATTCATGCATACATTGTATGGAAGTCCCGCGCGGGAGCGCGATTTGGGAATACATTGTGGAAAAGTACCAAACGGGAGCTGGTGTTGTTGTAACCCCGGGGCCTGGGGCACAATTTGGTGGCACCTCACGCGCTCTTGTGAAAAAACCAGGTGCGAACCCCGGGAGAAGAACTTCACTCGGAAAAATCAACGGTTTCCGGGCAGGGGGGAATCAACGCCATCGTCGTCTTCGATCGTACCCCCTTTGGGGTATCTTCCTTATCAGCAACTTGTATCCACTGCAGCCCCGAAGGCAGGGGAAGAGAAGACGGATGGAAGGAAGGGACAGGGGGAGGGAGGAGGATGGAGCACGAGAGAAAGGAGCAGGAGGGAGGCGAGGAGCAGAACGCACGAGGCAGAACCAGACTGGCAGATCGGGCGGGTAGACGCTAACAGGCGGGTCGGGAAGGCGGGCCCACGCGGCTAGATCGAGCAGGCGGGTTGCTGAAGCGTGCGTCCTGCATGAATCGCGAGGAAGTCTCGAACGATAGCGCAATTCCCAAATAAATCGCGAGACAATCTACAACGAGAGCGTAATTCCTGAGTGCCGATGGTGCGGCGTTTGGAAAAAGTATGCGGAAGTCCCACCCGAGAGAACGATGTCTGCATAAGTTGTGAGGAAGTCCCGCACGAGAGCGCGAGTTGGGAATACATTGTGAGGAAGTATCAGGCAGGAGCCGTTGTTGTTGTAATCCGGGGGCCAGAGACACAATTCTGAGACTAAAGACTTTCCCTGATACAAAACAGGGTGCGAGCCTTGGGAAGAGGACTTCGGTTGAAAAACAACATGTACCTCGGGAGGGGGGGGTCAACTATACTGATTATTTAACGAAGACTCAGCAGCAACACCAACAATCAGTATAAGGCTGTTCGCTCTTACTTGCCCGCGTGTCATTCAAATCGAGTTCCCCACACCCTCGGTATCCGCCTTTTTTGCCTTCGACCACACCCCCTTTGGGGGGATGATTTCTCTTTGCGGGGGGCGGCGGGCTTAGACGGGCGGGCAAACCTGAACGGGCGGACAATCCTTCGTGGGCGTACATGCGCCCGCCATTGGAATTGGTGTGGGCCCTGGAAAAAGAGGAGGGGGAGAACGAGGGAGAGTGGGAGGAAGGGAGGGGGAGGGACGAAGGAAGAGGGAAAACGCCATGAGAGAAGGAGCGAAGTGGGGGGCGGTTGACTAGAAAGACAGATAAGAGAGGTAGATAAAGAGAGAGAGAGAGAGGGGAGAGAGAGAGAGAGGGGAAAAAAAAGGAAAGAAAGAGGGAGGGAGGAGGCAGGAGAGGGGAGGGAGAAGGGAGGAGGGAGAGGAGGGAGAGGGGATAAAGCAGAGAGGCATAAGGATGAGGGAAGAGAGAAGGGAGAGAGAAGGGAGGAGAGGAGGGAGGAGGGAGGAGGGAGGAGGGAGAGGGAGGAGGAGCAGGAAGGTAAGAGCGTGAACGTTCGAGGAAGTCCTAAGCGAAAGCGCCGTTCCTGAAGGAAGTCTCTGGCGGGAGCCCACGACGGGCGGGCGATCCCCTGACGGGCGGGTCGGGCGGGTGGGACATTCAAGCGGGATGCCTAAATATGGCGAGAGCGCGATTACTAAGTAAATTGTAACGGCGTCCTTGGCGCAGCGTGTCTCCTGAGCGTCGAAAACACGATGTCTGAATAAATTGCATGAAGTCACAGGCGAGAGCACAATTCCTGAATAAAATGTGAAGGGTTCTCTGGCGGGAGCGGGGGTCTTGATTAATTTGCGAGAAAGTCATGATTCAATTACGAAAAAGTCTCAAGCGGGAGCGCCGTTCCTGAGTAAATTGTGAGGATGTCTCAGATGTGAGCGGGTGTCCTGACTAAATTGCGAGGAAGTCACAGGCGGGAGCACCGATCCTGAGTAAATTTTGAGGAAATCTCAGGAGCGGGGGTCCTGAGCAAATTTGGAGGAAGTCTCAGGCGGGAGCAGTTGTTGTTGTAATCCGGGGGGCCAGGGGCACAGTTTGAGCATCAAGACTTCCTCTGTCAAAAAACAGGGTGCGAGCGTCTAGGGGCACACTCTGATGGAGAAAAAACCGCATGCACCGGTGAGGGGGGATCAACAATACTTACTCCTCAGAAATGAGAGTGCAACAACAATAACAACAACAACAACAACAACAACAACAACAACAACAACAACAACAACAACAACAACAATTACTAGCACGTGGGGACACACCGTTCTCACCAGTGCCAGGGTTTTCATAGGAGGCGGGCAATACCCCCACTTTGTGGGGGGGCCGGTTCAAGCTCTACCAAATTTCCAAACGACTCTTCGCCACCACCCACACCCAGCTTCCCGCCCTATGACGTTCGGACACTTCACTTCGTGGCATGCGGACGACCGTGGCTACTATTCAGGGCCCCGCGGCCGACGACGACGGCGTGCGCGCGCGAAGAAAAAACGAATGTGTCCCGCATGGTATTATTTGACAGGGATGATGGCCCTGGCAGGTGCGCAACCGTTGTTGCAGAAGTTCGAAAAAGTTGCTCGCAAAAGCCCGTTTGACAGAAATGTTTAAAAAGTGTTGGGTTTCCTACGAATCCGCAAGAGCGCGCGGGATGAAATTTTGACAATTTTTTTTTGAAAAACCATTGGTTTTTTGATGTTTTTATGTTAAAATCGCTACGAAAACTAAGGTTTTGGAAGGATTTCGTCTTGCGCGCGCGAATGTCCACTTTACCTTATTTTTTGCAAGGGATTCTTGAAGTTTGGTTATGTTAGAACAAGAAATGTCCACTTTAGCTTATTTTTTGCAAGGGAAAACCGATCGTAACAACACAACCGGATCCGGACCAACCCGTTTTGCCTGAGACTTCCTCACGAAAATGATGAAAATGAGGCTGCGGCCTAGGCGCGGCGGGGGGGTCGCGCACCAGGGGCCCCAACAATAATTATTCTTTAGAAGTAATAATGTTCAACAACAACAACAACAACAACAACAACAACAACAACAACAGCAGCAACAACAACAACAACAACAACAACAACAACAACAACAACAACAACAATGACAACAACAACGACGACAACGACAACGACAACCACAACGACAACGACGACGGCACCGCTACAGCCGGGCTGCTGAAATAAGGAACGCCAAATTAAGAAGCGAAGCCCCTTCTTGGTACCAAGAGCGCCTGGGTACACGAGGAGAGCTAGAGGAGCAACAGAAGAAGGACCTGAGGAGCAGCGAGCCCCTGCTGAACCCCAAGCTGGCTCCACGGACCTCTCCCTGGGTGCGTTCTGTCCACGGTTTCGAAGAACACCCGGGCGACGAGGGCTTTCCAGGACGCAGCGGTATGGGTGCCTTTTTCCTCCTGCGAGGTCCGTTGGGGCCGAGTTCGTCCCGAGGGACACGGTCGCGCCCCGCTCCCTGCAGCCCCGCACGAGCTCCGTGAGCGCCTCCGTGTGGAGGCCGCATGCACCCAGGTAGCCGCCGATGTGCAGGTGGCTGCACTGCAGCACTGCGGCGACGTCCATGTGTTCGAGGGCCACGGCGCTCACCTCAGGAGATTGAGATTCGGCCTCTTGCCCTCCCCCTTCCCCTCCCCCTTTCCTCGATACTCCTCCTCCTCCTCCTCCTCCTCCTCCTCGTCTTCCTTCTCGTCATCCTCCTCATCCTCATCATCCTCATCCTCATCATCCTCATCATCATCCTCATCCTCCTCCTCCTCCTCATCCTCATCATCATCATCATCATCAGCAGCAGCAGCATCAGCATCATCACCATCAACATCAGCATCACCAGCAGCATCAACAGCACCATCATCAGCAGCATCATCATCAGAAGCAGCACCATCACCATCATCATCAACATCAGCATCATCGGCAGTATCAGCATCAGTAGCAACACCATCGTCAGATCATCATCGTACCATTGTCATAACCATCATCACCATCGTCAACAACATCACCAGCATTATCGTCATCAACATCACCATCATCATCCGCAGCAGCAGCATCAGCATCATCAGCAGAATCAGCATCATCATCAGCATTATTATCCTAATCCTCATCCTCATCCTCATCCTCTTCTTCCTCCTCATCATCCTCCTCCTCGTCCTCCTCATCCTCCTCGTCGTCCTCCTCCTCTTCCTCCTCCTTCTCCTTGTGGAATGAAGCAGGTGGTGCGTGATCGCCTCTACGTGCAGGCTCACGCTCTAGTCATTCCTGCGGCTGTCGCTGGTGCCGAAGCCCTTCGTACTGTGGCCATCGGCAAGTGGCTTCGGCTTGCTGAAAGGGACAGTCCTCTCCCGGCCTGGTTCGAGGATCTCCTCGAGAGCAAGCTGGCCATGCGTAGGTGAAGCGACGCAGCAGCGAAGGCTGAGTTGTGGCGTGGCGTCTGCAAGTCTGCCCTTTCGGGCTCAGGCAGGATCGCGCACAAGCTGATCAAGCCCAAGATTGTTGAACCTCTGCCTGTGACCCTACCTGGTGATGTCGATCAGTTGCGCAGGTGGGCCCGTTGGCTGTCGAAGGCGTCCTGCAGGAGTGGATACCGCTTTGGATGAAGGAGCCGAGGATAGACGGGCTGCCCGCTTCTGAATGGCATGCGCAGGTGACTCTTGAGCCCATCAGTGTGCAGAAAGTTCGCTCGGCCATCCTCTTTTCCGGCAGGCGGAACGGCTTGGGTTGGGGCAACTTTCATCCTCGGCTGATTGGCGATCTATTGGACGCCTTGGTCTCTCGTTTCGAAGCCATTTTGAATCACTTCGAGCAGTCAGCTGCCGTCCCTGATCTTTGGACGACCATGCTTGTCCTTATTCATGACCCTCCTCCTGATGTTGGACGTCGGCCTGTAGGCCTGCTGAGCCTCTGGCCCCGCGTGTGAACCAGGATCCGGCAGCGTCAGGTTCGCGCATGGGGGGTCAGTGTGGATGCCAGCTTCTTTGGGGGCATGTCTGGTGACACGGCGGCCGACCGAGCGGCGTACATCCACACCCTTTTCGTGGTGCATGCGAAGCGCCATGGGCTCGTCAGTGGCACGCTCTATTACGATGTTGGCAAGTTTTATGAGAACATATCTCGTTGTGCGGTGCGCTCGGCTGGCAAGCACTTCAGTTTCGACGAGCAGCTGCTGCGGTGCCTGTGTGCCGTCGACCGTGGACCGAGGAGGGCACCCTGGCTCGGTACGGCGTCGCGCATGGTGATGCCCAACGGCACCGTGATTGCTGGCTGCAGTTGCGCGACGGGCGCGGTGAAGCACGTGACTCCGTGCGTGTTGCGTACCATTTCAGTTGAGACACGTGTTTGGCGGCCGCTGAACCTGGTGGACGACCTTCATGCGCATGCAGTGGGATCTCCACGCACTGTGGCTTGGCAACTGGTCAAGGCAGCTACGAACAGTTCGTCTCACATGGAGGAGTTGGATCTCCCGCTCAGCTTGGCGAAGACCTGCGTCCTCTGCTCGTGCCCCGAGCTGCTCGAGGCCCTGCTGGAGGACCCCGACTGGCCCTTCGATGAGCCCTTCCCTGCCAGCAGCCACCACGATTTGGATGGCGATGCTTCTGACGGCAAGGCCCGCCGCGTGCCCGTGCAAAACAAGCGCCTCCCGGCATCGTCGGCCGCAGCGACTCGGCTCTCGAAGATTTGTTTCGAAGATTGGGAGGGGGAGGGAGGCGTTGCGGGTGCACAGGGCGGGACCAGTCGCTAAGGCCCCGCAGGGAGCGCCCGTTCATGGTCTAGGGAAGACTGTCCTGAGGTCTCTGAGGGTCCTCCTCCTCCTCCTCCTCCTCCTCCTCCTCCTCCTCCTGCTCCTCCTCCTCCTGCTCCTCCTCCTCCTCCTCCTCCTCCTCCTCCTCTCCTCCTCCCTACTGCTCCTCTCCTCTCTCCTCCTCCTCCTCCTCCTCCTCCCCCCTCCCCCTCCTCCTCCTCCCTCGCTCCTCCTCCTCCTCCTCATCCTCCTCCTCCTCACTCCTCAGCCTCCTCCTCCTTCTCCTGCTCCTACTCCTCCTCCTCCTCCTCCTCCTCCTCCTCCTCTCCGCCTTTTCCCCCTGCCCTCCTCCGGCCTCCTCCTCTTCCTCCTCCTCCTCCTCCTCCTCCTCCTCCTCCTTCCTCCTCCTCCTCCCTCCTCCTTCTCCTCCGCCTCCTCCTCCTCCTGCTTCCTCCTCCTCCTCCTCCTCCTCTTCCTCCTCCTCCTCCTCCTCCTCCTCCTCCTCCTCCTCCTCCTCCTGCCGCCTCCTCCTCCTCCTCCTCCTCCTCCTCCTCCTCCGCCCCTTCCTCCTCCTCCTCCTCCTCCTCCTCCTCCTCCTCCTCCTCCTCCTCCTCCTCCTCCTCCTCCTCCTCCTCCTCCTCCTCCTCCTCCTCCTCTCTGCCAGGCCGTTTGGTCCCCTCCAGCCTGGCTCCTCCCGCGTCCTCGCCTTCATCTTCTGTGAAGCCCCTCAGCATGGCCCTCTCGTGTCGGCGAGGCGGATGCCGTCAGATCGTTTGTGTCAGTTTGGTGGCGCCGCGGTGTCACAAAGCAGGTGCTCCTCTCGGCGTTTGAAGATGCCCTCCTGTCCGCAAGCAAACCCAGGCCCTGGTGATCCGCGAAGCAGCTTGTTGCCGCTCTGGTGTTAACGCTTGAACGGCTTGGCTGGAAGTTTGATATCCCTAGCGAGGTTTTGATTGACCAGACTGGGCGCTCCTTGAGTTTGTCTGCGTGTTCCCCCTCCGTTGTTGCCCTTCGTGTGCGCGAAGCGTGCGAGGAGGTCATTGTTTCTGAAGAGCAGGTTCGGCAGCCTGATGTTGGCGCCGAGTGACGCGGCCCCGTGTCTCAAGCCTGCCCTTTCACCTGATCTCTAAGCAGGGCACCGTTTAGAGTTATCACTGCCGTCATTGTCTACGCAGCTTGATGTTCAACTAGTATTGGTGCCAGCAGCCGTTTCACGATGCCTGCCAGGATACCTCGCCAGCTCGCCTGCTCTGCCAGGCGCCCTCCGGCACGATGTCCCGTGCTCGGTTCGATTGCCCAGCTCACGATGTGTTTGACGTCGAGATGCCATGTGCTCCGACCCGCGTCGGGCGGCGGATGGGCTTCGCCTCCTCTATAGGCCGGGGCCCGGGAGCTGTTGGCCAGGCGTGTCCTCCCTGACCCCAACCTGTTGGTTGGCTCGCCCCAGCCAGCCCCAAAAGACACCGCGGTGTATCGGCACAATTTGAAGGGGCCCCAGGACACACACATAAATACACACAAATACAAAAAAAACTATATGTTCCCATATTTTCTGGGTTTTTGTCTTCCCCCCCCACTTCCCATATTTTCCCATACTTCCGGGGAATCGACGATTAATTGTGTCTGTGTTTTTTCCCCTCCTCACAGTTGGCCTTCCGAGGGACTGGTGCTGGGGGAGGGCACGCAAATGCTTTGTGATGGCTCGTGCTGCGAGCTGGGTCTTCCCAGGATTCGTTCGGCGGGATGGGCGGCGGCTGTGAGGGGTGGGTGGGGGAACGTTGTTCGTGCGATCTGGGGGCGTGTGCCTCCCTGTGGTGATCTTGCCCAGGAGGCGCGTGACGGTGAAGACTGCGCGGTGGTTCCTCTCGCGCGTCATGCCGCATTTTCCCCTGGGGCCAGCTCGCATGGGGACTGCTCTGTGACCCTCGGGTGCGTTTTTCGGACCCCGTGGCCGCGGTCAATCCTGGAAACGCTCGGCCTCATGGGCGGGGAGGGATGGGCAGGGGGAGGAGGAGGGGCAGGAGGAGGAGGAGGAGAAGGGGGAGCAGGAGGAGGAGGGGGAGGAGGAGGAGGAGGAGGAGGAGGAGGTTGGAGCGTCTGGGGGGCAACGTCTTCAACCACTCTACTGCCGACGACGCCACAGACGACCCGGTTGGCCGAGGGGCAGTTCGACGGCTTGGAGGGCGGCTCGCGCCAGGCTTTGGGCGGCCTCCTGAGAGAACAGGGGCGCGTGGGCTTTACTCTCTTGGTGTGCCAACCGATAGAGATGAAAATAAAAAGCGGTGAATTTGAACGTCTCGGGGGCGGGGTGGATCAGTCCCAGAGCCAGGAGGGGGTCCAAAAACGGGGGCGCGGGGAGGTCAGCTCTTGATTGCCTACGGGCGAGCATATACATCGGGTCGCATCAACGGAAATAATGCTTTAAAGAGTCGCGAGGAGGAGGAGGAGGAGGAGGAGGATCCAGGAGCTCCCCCCCTGGCAGCATGTGTTTGATAAGCTCGACGGCGTGCGGTGGCACAGAGCGCCCGCCCACTGCACTCGTCGTGGCGGTGAGGCTGGGCGGCTCGGTCGTCTGGAATTTCCGGGCAGCAGGGCTTCCGATGAGCGTGCGAAGCGAGGCGCCTCCTCTGGGAAGAATGCCCGACATCGTGGCGTCGTCGCGGGTTGCTTCGCGTTGGTGCGGTTGCTGTGCCAGCTTTCGGCCGAGCAAGAGGCTCGGATCGGGCATGGTCAGGAGTTCGATCCTGTCAGCATCGATGGGCTGAGGCACATCTCCTTCGAAGCGACCCCTCTCTTCCCGAGGAGTTGGTTTCCCTTCCTCCCCCTCCTCCCGTGGGCGGGACAGGACGGGTGAGCTCGGGATGGGGATGGGCATGCGTGTGAAGAGGGTCGGGCCGAGTGGCCCGACCTCCATGTCTGGCCTGGTCTGGGGCATGCCATCATTGAGGCTGGATTCACAGACCTCGAGGGGAGGGCCGAAGGCTCCCTCGCCTTTTGCACCTCGTGCGGCTCGATTTGTACTGTTGGTGGTCATGGTGGCAAGACAGCTCTCGCGTCAGATTGCTTGCGCGTCCGCTCTTCGGGTCGGGAACGACAGTTGGCTTGGATTTCGCAAGGTCGCCATCCGTCGAAGAAACACCTTCGGGTTGGCCAGGCGTCAGTGTTATCGGACACCAGCCTCGCGGCTAAGATGGGTCTGGACGACCTCCCCTCTCTCGTGCCGCCTCGAGCCAGAAGTTCCCTAGCTTCTTCGTCGGGAGGGGGTGGGAGGGTATGAGCGGGCATTGGGGTCGACCTTCAGCGTGGCCTTGCACTTTTCGGGTTCAGCTCTCGGGACGAGGCCGAGTCTCTCGGGGGTCGAGCGCGTGAGCGCCGTCGGCAGATTGTACCGCCCCCCGAAGACCCTGACCCCTAACTCGCTTGGAGTTTAGCTGATGCACGTTGGAATGAGGTGATACCTTCATAGCGGGTGTCGAGCTCCTCCTCCTCCTCCTCCTCCTCCCCCTCCTCCTCCTCCCCCTCCTCCTCCTCCTCCTCCTCCTCCTCCTCCGCCTCCTCCTCCTCCTCCTCCTCCTCCTTCCCTTCCTCCCTCTGACTGGGGGCGAGCCTCCCTGCACCCCTGGCCGGCTTGGGATGCCCTGGCCACCGTCGAGTAGCACGACACGAAGGCCCGGTCCTCCGGCCCCGACAGGATCATGCACACGCTGCTGGGCCGCGGGAGCCGCTGTCGGGGGCCCCGGGAGCCCCCTCACTGCGCAGCCCAGCGCACGCCCAGATCTCAGGGCGGAGGGGGGCTCGAGGTTCTCGGACGATTCTCGGGGGGCTCGAGGCTCTCGACGATTCTCGGCGGAGGGCGGCGCTGCCGGCGGCAGCCGCGCCGCGCCGGCAGCGTTCTGAAGGGGTGCCTGGGCCGTCCGGGGGGACGGAGGCCTGAGACCCGAGGCACGAAAGGAAAACCGAAGTCTGGGCTGGACTGGAGGCCAGATCTCCGCTGATCTGTTTTCCTCCTCCTCCTCCTCCTCCTCCTCCTCCTCCTCCTCCTCCGCCTCCGCCTCCGCCTCCTCCTCCTCCTCCTCCTCCCCCTCCTCCTCCTCCTCCTCCTCCTCCTCCTCCTCCTCCTCCTCCTCCTCCTCCTCCTCCTCCTCGACCCCATCCGTGAGGGCCCCCTTGTTTCCGCGGTGCGCTCCGCGCGGCCTCCCCGCGGCTGGCTGGGGCTTCGCGCCGACAGGCGGAGCCCCCCCCGCTCAGCCACGCGCAGAGGGGGAGGCTCAAGTCGGGCATGTCCCTCGACAGGTGGGAGATTCAAAATAGAAAAAAATGTATGGGGACGATTTTTTATGATATGAAACTATGTTTGATTATGTTCGGACTGTAGCTTTCATTTGTTCTTCGAAGAGCCGCCCGTAGGAGGACATGCCCGACCTAAGGGTAGGAGGAGGGGGCTCCTCCTCCTCTTCTTCCTCCTCCTCCTCCTCCTCCTCCTCCTCCTCCTCCTCCTCCTCCTCCTCCTCCTCCTCCTCCTCCTCCTCCTCCTCCTCCTCCTCCTCGTCTTCTTCTTCTTCTTTTTCTTCCTCCTCCTCCTCCTCCTCCTCCTCCTCCTCCTCCTCCTCCTCCT